AATATGGGCTGAGCGTTGTTTCAAATCAGTTTGATCTCTTTTGATACTGGAACGCTTAACACATGTGAGTTAAAACCTGAAAAATGAATATTTTGACAGGAGACAAGTTCACGAAAAATCTTGCAACATAACTTATTTGCAAATGGAATTGTCGGTGCAACAGATCTAGCGAATTTGTTTTGTCAAAGTACTTATTAGTAAACCAAAATCCTATGAGCGACTGTGGCCCTTTTAAACAAAAAATTCCGTTTTTTCGTTGCAATGTGGAGTGCTAACAGGAGAATCAATCGGAGATACAGTGGCAAAAGAGCCCTAATCCACACCAAATGTTTATCACGCATCAATACAAGTCTCGGAAACACGAGGAGGAAAGGCCCAAATAAATCTTAAAATTAGATAGAAATTTCGTAAAATCGGTCATTATCTATAGCACAATGGGTTATTTATTAAAAACGCCATCGAAAATAGGAAATGCACTCAGTTAAGAAAAATTTCAGGTGTTTTGAGATAGCTCTGCCCTATATGTCCTAAGATAATAATTTTATTTTATAGTAAAACTCTAGGCCTTACCGGTCGTATAATAATTTCGATACCCGTTTCTAAATTATGTCGAAACCGTCAGTCAATGCAAAATGGGATTCAACGTGCGAGTCTGAACAAAAAAATACTGACCATGCATGCAGCCAGACACAGAGTTTTCCAAACTTTGGAGGGCTCTACCAAAATGCGTGGTTGTCTGTTCAATTCTGCCTAGAAGACAAGCATGTGCTAGTATATCATTTCGCCCTGTGCGTAAACATTCGTTTTTCTTAATAACCTGATAGTAAATCTGTTTATTTATTGTAAGTTCACAGAACCATGATAACTGATCTTTGTAGGCTGTTGCAGTTTTTGTTTTTACGTAACTGCCGGGACCAAATGATCATCATACCAAACATTCTTTCAAACTATTGTTTACCCTGTTACTAAATTTTAGATATGTACGCACCTTTCTTCCACAGCAACATGAGAATGTAGTGAACTGTGCTTTGCAAAAAATAGTAGATGGCGCGTCTCATAATATTTTGATAAAAATTCTAAAATTCAATTGCGACCAAAAATAAGTACTTAGTCGTTGTTGCAATATTTACTATAGTGCAGCATAATCACAAAAGATTTAATTCGCGCCAACATTCTGGCTTTTGAATGTAATAATCTTCGCCTATATAGGTCACATTTGGCACAAATGGTCAATTAAACAGTAGCATCTCTTTTATTGGGTTCAGAGATCTAAGAACATTAAATATATTTTACGAAAGCATTTGAAAGGTATCTTTTATGGGCCTAATTCCGCGAAAAATTATGTCTTATTAAAACGTACACCCTAATAGAGAGTAGCTTTTGACTTGAAAATATTTCCAGTCCCCGAATAATTTTGACGGCATCCAGCCCTAGCACTTGCTTTTAGGAATTCTAAATTAACAGTTAAATAACTATTATATAAAGAAAAGTATGGATTTATCTATGCTTTTAAGTAAATATTTTGGGATGTAGGGGTGTCAGCGGTGGGTTCACGTGATGGTCGTGGTGGTCGCTCACTTGCTTGCAGGTGATACTACGCCTAGCGTTCCCTTGCTGTCACTCAACTCTCACCTGTGGCTCCACGTAGCTGGGCTCTGCTCAGCGGCCACACCCCGGGCAACCGTCTCGACCGGCGGGCTAAACCATTTGAGGGGGCCCTGTGCGCTGTGTCGTGTGCACAGGGTTTGCGGATTCCGCTGGATGGAAGGTCGGATGGAACCTTGCGACGGCACCGTCGTGACGTGGTTCGTCTCTGCACGCCGCTGGACAGCCGGTGACGGGATGGATGTCCACATTGACATCGCCTTGACGCGCCCACCTACGCCGTCGGAGACCGCGGATTACGGCGAATTCGAGTCGCTCTCCACTACAACCCGAAGTCGTGGCCCCATAGTGGAGTTCGGCCGTGCCACAACGGCACGTGGCAGCCCTATTCAGAGATGGCACTGCCAGCCCCCACGAGGGGAAGGGCCTAGAAAAGGTGGCCTAAACATTGCTGGGCACCACGCCGTCTTCAGGCTAGCCAGGGCTGCAGACGTCTAAACATGGTCGAAAAAATCAAAATCGAAACAACAACAATACCTATAACAACAACAACAACAACAACAATGCTCGCTCACCTCCTCATCCTACCTCTTCTTTCTCTTCCTCTGCCTATTTTTCTCCTTCGCCATCTTCTACTCCACCTCCTTCCCGTCGCCCCACTCGTTGTCACCAGACTGGCAGGATGAGTCCGCTTACTTTGGCAGCCTGGAATGTTCGTTCCCTTTTAGACAATCCGAGGAGCAACCGACCGGAACGAAGGACGGCGCTAGTGGCACGGGAACTGGCGCGCTACAAGGCGGAAATCTCCGCACTCAGCGAGACCCGATTCTCCGAACAAGGCCAACTGGAGGAGGTGGGTGCCCGGCTACACCTTCTTCTGGAGCGGTCGACCCAGGGCAGAGCGACGAGACGTGGGTGTCGCCTTCGCCATTCGGAACGACATCGTGGGACGACTGCCGTGTTTGCCGCAGGGCATCAACGATCGCCTGATGAGCCTCCGCCTGCCTCTCCGGTGAGGAGGCAAATTCGCCACCATCATCAGCGTCTACGCTCCGACGATGACTAACCCCGACGCCGTCAGAGACAAATTCTACGAGGACCTGCACGCCCTCTTGGCGACTGTGTCGAAGGCGGACAAGTTGATTGTCCTTGGTGACTTCAACGCCCGCGTCGGCACAGGCCATACTGCCTGGAGAGGAGTGCTGGGTCCCCACGGTCTCGCGGCTCAAACGACAATGGTCTGCTGCTTCTCCGCACCTGCGCAGAACACCGCCTCATCCTGACGAACACGTTCTTCTGTCTGCCGGAGCGAGAGAAGGCCACCTGGAGGCATCCTCGGTCGCGCCAGTGGCACCTGCTGGACTACGTCCTCGTCCGGAGGCGAGATCAGCGGGACGTGCTGGTGACAAAGGCGATCGCGGACGCTGACGGGTGGACCGACCATCGCCTCGTCATCTCGAAGATGCGTATTCGCCTACAGCCTCGCAGGAGACCACAAGGTAAGCGTACCCCAGTTAAGCTGAATGTTGCCTTGTTGCCTCTGCCCGCTCACCATCTTCATTTCAGCAATGAGCTAGCTCAACGGCTAGATAACCTTCCAATCGCTGCCGACGCCGACGCTGCCGAGAACGCCGCCGTGGAGAACCGCTGGTGTCAACTGCGAGACACGGTCCAGTCGACGGCGCTCGCCGTCCTCGGTCGCGCTCCCCGCCAACACCAGAACTGGTTCGACGACAACGACGCCGCCATCAGAAATCTGCTTGCTGAGATGAACCGCCTACACAAAGCCTACGTAGATCACCCCACTGATGCCACCAAAGCTTCCTTCTACCGCAGTCGCCGCCAACTTCAGCAACGACTGCGTGAGATGCAGGACGCCTGGACTGCTTGCAAAGCTGAGGAGGTCCAAGGGTACGCGGACCGCAACGAATGGAAGAACTTCTTCTCTGAAATTAAATTTGTCTACGGTCCGCCGACGAAGGGCACTGCTCCTCTCCTCAGCGCCGACGGCAATATTCTCCTGACTGAGAAGACGCAAATCCTGCCGCGATGGGCCGAGCATTTCCGAGGCGTCCTCAACCGCCCGTCCGTCATCTCCGACGCAGCCATGGAGCGTTTGCTGCAAGTGGAAACCAACATTGCCACATTTGGACGTCGGTGGAATGACCTCATTTTTTTATATGTCTAAAAATACGAAAAATAGGATAATTAAAAAGCATGAGCCAAATCGCTTGTTGAATAATATCAGAAACTACAGGTATACGTAGTTTGACGTATTGCTTTGATAAAGTAGCTCTCTACGATAAATAACCTACGTCCAAAGGCATAATAGCTAAGACTGACTTTTGTATTTGGTGTACATCAACTATTTACCAGTAAAATCACGACGTTGCTCTTAATAAAATGGTGCGCATATGAAAAGAAATAGACAAACCATTTCCATTTTTGTAGGAGGGATCTTCAACCGAATCTCAGTTGTAGAAAAAATCATATTGAACCATCAGTGTGTCACTCCATTGAAATAACAATTGGAGCGAACGAGTTGTTATATTTGAAAACTTATTTAAAGGAAGAAGACATTAAATCAATTCCACCCTGTTTTTAATACTAAACAAATTTGGCTTTTGCTATATGTCAGAATAGGAACTTGACTCCCCCATGAAACGGATGTTTTAAAAAACAATTTGGTACAGCTCCTTCCAGTGAGACAGCATTCTTCTGGACATAAATTACCTGGTTAGGTTTCTTGAAATACGGTTATTATGAGGCATTCGTCGTTAAAGAAGCTAAAACGAACGGAATCCAGCTTGTGTTATGCAAACACTTTCATTGGAGCAAACTTTAACAAACTCCTTTAGGGAGGTTTTTGGTGCGAATAACTTGAACTGTTTGGCTGCAAAACGAAATCATACCAATTGAACAAAATGTTCTTTAACCAGCAGATTTTCTGAATAGGAACCATGATGGCTTTTGAAGTAGAAAAATATCATAAGACTGCGGAGCACTATTTCGACAGAAGCGCGTTAACATGGAGATAGGCGTGCTTTCATTGCCTTCGCCGACGCAGTGATTCTGTAATTCTTTCACTATTCCAAACTTTACTGTGGTGACCTGTCTCGAAGTTTGTTTGTTCTAATAAACCTTAATAAGTTGTAGTCAGAGGGTGGCAAAACTGATTTCATACTTTTAGACATTTTGTTTGAACTTCCCCAAACCACTTCTCATCGAACCTGCATTTGGAACGGCCTTAAATTACTCCGAATTTGTCGATTTATTAAAATCCCAAGGTAGGTTGTTGTAGTCATGCGTAGTACGTAAGAACAAGACGAAGTTTAAAAAGGTAAATTTGGGAACTTTAATTTGCTTTTGCGAATGGTGCCCTCCGATTTGTAGGACTTCTCACTGAACACGCTTTTGATTGTATGTATGCTCGGAACTTGGAGCCCTAATGACTTATTGAACGTAACAATGCATTTCAAGAAATAACCGTCAAAAAAGCTTCCCAAAAGTACCCGCACATGTTATAAAATAGGTACGCTTTCCTTATGATGATTTCGATCTCTTTGTAAAGCCTAAAGGACAACTTGGAGCTTGCATCTTATGAATTTTAATGTAGCTTAACTTTCGGTTTCATCTCTTTGCGTAAAACATACTTTTATCCCAGAATCCCCCATTTATGAAGCCGAACTAATTTTGGGCATGATAATTGAAAAATCGCTAAGTGTAATCTACAAGGAAATTCTCCGTGCACTCACAAATACCTTATCTGTGAGTGAGACAAATAGAAACAGAAACACCTTCGTGCGTAACAGATGCCATCCTGCGTAGTTACCAATGCGACTGATGCATTTTAGGCAAATTGTTTTTTTTGACAATTTCAAAATATATGCCGCAGAATTAGCTCTGTTATGAGTACGACTGTTTCTAACCTTAAGTTAGACATGACTTGTAAAAGTACATCAATTGGAAGGTAACTTACTAGCATTTAAAGTTTTAATGATTTCTTTGAAAATGAAGCATTTATTACCACGAAATGATCGGCGATTGATTAAAAGACTGCTGTAATACTGAGGAAAGATGTATTAGCAGGTTAGAGAACGTGCAAACTATATGGATGGTCATTATTTTATGCATTTACATTTATTTCGGCCACCCATGCGGCCGTCCGACAGGTGAGATAGTGCAAAGTTTACTTGAAAACTACTGACGACAGAGAATTTAATAAAGTTCTTAGTAATGCGTTATAGATTATGTCAGTCAGCATACAACAGAGCAGGCCTGAACGCAGCACATCAATAATTACATTAACAAACGTTGACGTCTGTACTTAATGAATTCGATATAAGGGGCGTAAATGATTTTGGATTCAGGGGTTGCTGCATGGTCTCACTAAAATTACTTCACTACTCACTGATCATAAAGTTCTGTTATGCTGGTGCGGCAGTCCGTGTTATTAACACCAGCGCCCTCGATCTGGAAAATGCTCAAAGAATAAATCTAGGTAGGTTTTCAACAGCAAAAACGTGAAACAGCTTTAGAGCTGACACTAAAATTTGTGGGAGAAGGAATTCAATGAAATCACTAATCACGTGTGCTTTTCGGGAGATTTGGACATGTAGCGTTCAACATACCCTCCACTGTCTTTTTTTAATCCCCAAAGGCGACAGATCATTCAAAAGGCAAAATAATGTCATTTGCCCACTTCGGACAGTCATATTTCGTCAGAATACGTGCCCTTCCCCACTTTTATCCTTTCTCCTTTATTCTTTTTCAGTAAGACAACTTTTATGCATCAAATGTTAAGTTAATTCGGTTTTTCCAATCCGCGTTTTAAACCGCGTTTCTTGCTGCGCATTTCATATTCTTGACAGTGCTTTCCTTTTAAAGTATCTATGTGTTCAACTTCGTCCAGATAAGGTCTAGACTTTCATTAATTATCGGCAGTTTTAATGAAATATCAACTATTCCTTGCATCAATGCTATAACGTTTTAGCTTCTTTAACGACGAATGCCTCATAATAACCGTATTTCAAGAAACCTAACCAGGTAATTTATGTCCAGAAGAATGCTGTCTCACTGGAAGGAGCTGTACCAAATTGTTTTTTAAAACATCCGTTTCATGGGGGAGTCAAGTTCCTATTCTGACATATAGCAAAAGCCAAATTTGTTTAGTTTTAAAAACAGGGTGGAATTGATTTAATGTCTTCTTCCTTTAAATAAGTTTTCAAATATAACAACTCGTTCGCTCCAATTGTTATTTCAATGGAGTGACACACTGATGGTTCAATATGATTTTTTCTACAACTGAGATTCGGTTGAAGATCCCTCCTACAAAAATGGAAATGGTTTGTCTATTTCTTTTCATATGCGCACCATTTTATTAAGAGCAACGTCGTGATTTTACTGGTAAATAGTTGATGTACACCAAATACAAAAGTCAGTCTTAGCTATTATGCCTTTGGACGTAGGTTATTTATCGTAGAGAGCTACTTTATCAAAGCAATACGTCAAACTACGTATACCTGTAGTTTCTGATATTATTCAACAAGCGATTTGGCTCATGCTTTTTAATTATCCTATTTTTCGTATTTTTAGACATATAAAAAAATGAGGTCATTCCACCGACGTCCAAATGTGGCAATGTATGCTCTCCGACCAAAATCTAGAACTTACACGAAACTACCGCATGGCAGATAACAAATGCCTCAGAGGTAGTGAAAATCCGATTCCCAGGTGGCATATCAAAAGAAGAGTGGGCGTTCACCGGGAGGGGTTTATTTGAGATCCGACGTTTCGGGTAGTTTACTCGTCTACCCATCTTCAGGGACTGGGAGGTCCTGTACACAGCATTCCTTATTATGGCGGGTTGGATGCAGTCACACAGGCGGCATTGGCGGATAACGCATTGGACAAAAGGGCGCCATAATAAGGAATGCTGTGCACAGGACCTCCCAGTCCCTTAAGATGGGTAGACGAGTAAACTACCCGAAACGTCGGATCTCAAATAAACCCCTACCGGTGAACGCCCACTCTTCTTTTGATATGCCTCATAGGATTTTAAAGGAAAACTTAAATAACTTAAAAAGAACGTTTTGACTGTATTCTTCTTTTCTGCCGTCAACGAGAAAGGTTTTGCTGAATTGTCGTACTATATTCCGCAAGCAATCGGTCAGAGAGGTATCTGCACGAAATATGATAGGGAGCGTTTCAAAGTACTGCCCAATGCCAACTCTCGAACGTATATATATAGTTTTTCACGCCAAACCCATCAGATTGTGTTTATGACTAAGGGGGTACGAAATAACTAGATGTGTTAGGCTGACAAGAGTAAATATTCTTATGACTTGCATGATACAATATGAACACACCGGGCTTGATAGTTGCCTACATGTTGTATCAGCCCCCTAATATTATGTATGAATGTGCAAGAAACAAATTTATGGAAAGTGAATTTATGTCCATTAACTAATATTTTTAATTTCTTAAAATATCACTTCTACAATATGAAACGGCTTAACGCGACGGGTTCCTCAAGGACGTTGATAAATGACTGTTAAAAAAATTATGCAATATGGTTTTCATATTTGTGGTGAATTTTCAACAATGCTTGACATACAATCATGTGATGAGTATAATGCAAAATCAAATACTGCGATGTTTTTCATCATTTGCTACTAAAAGCAAGCCAGGAAACTGCGCCATGAAATTTCAACATCCTGTAAGTTTTTCACAAGACTATGTAATATAAAATGTTTAGTAAACAATTATATTTCCCTCATGAGAGTTCGATCGTCGTTAGCGACGATGTCCACCGTGTATTCTACCTCAGAGTGGGTGTGGGGATGATAATTGGTGGGACGGTAATTTGTGAGGGAACTTGTTTATGCTGATAATAGACGTTGCCGCATTTACCGCACTCTCTCTTCCCACATTTACTTCCGTCAAGACGAAAGCAAGAAAACGGGAGTTTGGATCGAGCGCAGCGTCTGCCAAAGCCAAACAATCCGCCGTCGCCTACCACAGTCACGTTCGCGCGTGATACACCAGGCCTTCACACATCAAGAAAGCGAAGCGGTCCAGATCTCAGCTGTGTTGGGGTGTCAGAGAGGCCGTATTAAGAAAGAGCTGTTGCAGCCTGATTCGTCCTCTTGGAAGACGAGGTTGCTCAGTCAGTTGAAAGTCTTCCAT